TCCCTCTGAATCACCTCCCCTGAATGTCCCTCACTCTCCTTCTGAGTCACCTCCCACAGAAGTCTCTAACTCTCCCTCTGAGTCACCTCCCACAGAAGTCCCACACTCTCTTTCTTTGAGTTTCTCCCTCTCCCTCTGAGTCACCTCCCCTAAAAGTCCTTCACTGTCCCTCTGAATCACCTCCCCTGAAAGTCCCTTACTCTCCCTCTGAGTCACCTCCCACAGACGTCCCTCACTCTCCCTCTGAGTCACCTCCCCTAAAAGTCCCTCACTGTCCCTCTGAGTTGCCTCATCCAGATTCCCCAGACCTCCTGAGCTCCTTGATCCAGAAGACCTCCTTCCTTTCTTCTGCCTGAGTTTCCTTACCCAGAAGTCCCTCATAATTCTCAGATTCAGTTTTCAGAAGCCCGTGGATTCTTTTAACAGCCCCCATCTGAATCTCCATGTCTGCCAGGTTCCTCACCATCCAGTTTAGGTAGTTGGACACCTACGGAGAAAGCCAGGCCACAGGAAAGGAGATCACTGTCTTTCATCACAGATGGAACAAAATAGAAGTAACCTTGGGTGTTATGACTTTCGGACTCATTAGAGTATAAGCTCTTTGAACGCAGGAACTGTTTTTTGGCCTCTTTTTATATCCCTACCTCTTAGCACAGTGGTTGCCACATAGTAGGACTTAATTAACATTTATTCATTGATTAATTTGGGAGGAGATCATTCAGTTCTCTGTCTGTAGTGGAATGTAGGGATGATGTGGTGACATCAGTCCTAAAACTGGGACCTGATGTTAGGTAGGGCAAGGGATTGACATTTTTGTTGTCATAAGAAGGGAAAGCTAGAAGAGTGAGGAGATTCTACAAGTGGGAAAAAAGGATTTGGGTGAAAAGGTTATAGGGGCAAACTGCCTATGGGACCTTTGTTCCCAGCACAGTACTCAATGGGGCATGGAATATATCCAACCTTGTGGTAGAGGTATCATTTTTCCATTCAGTTCAGTTCCAGAAGTGATCCCTGACCCGCTTTGGACTGGGGATGGGGGTGGGGGTTGGGAACAGCAATGAAGTCTAGTAAAATCTTCTACCTAAGGGTTATGGGTAACTCTTACCTGAAAGAGCTGGGGACCCCAAGACACCGATCATTTGGTGTTGGTGACCCATTAGGGATAACGCCCCTCATTCTTCTCTTACCAGGATAAGGCATCTACCTTGCATCACTCACCATTAGGGCATAGGTGAGGCCCAGCCCCACCAGCCCTGCAGGCAGCTCCTTGTGCAGGGATTTGGTGATGGAAGCCACAGCAGCTATGAGGACCACACAGGCACCAATATATTCCTGCAAGAATGATATTGCCCTCAGGCATCGTGAGCACCCCACGTAGTCTTCCTGCAAATCCTTCCGTACCACACCCTGAGCCACACTCTACACAGGTAAAGGCTTCATACACACACACACACACACACACACACGCACACACACACGCACACACACTCTCATACATACACACATACACTCACACACAGTCACACAGACCCAGTCACACAGACACACACATACACACACTCACACAGACATACATATACTCACACACTCTCAGACACATATACACACTGTCACAGATATACACACTCACACGTACTGTCTTACACATACACTCTCACGCAGGAGGATCCTGTGTGATATGCAGGAGATCTGGCTCGTATACACACACAGACATAAACATACACACACACTCTCACACGCATACTTTCACACAGACACACAAACGCACAGACACACACACACACAGAGTCCCCCTGTGAGTAGTAGTGATGGCTTCATACACAGATTCTTGCACACACTTCATCCACACAATATAGACAGATGATGTAGCAAAAACTACCACATTTGACACACATACCTTCACCCACATTCATACATACATACATATGTGTGTGTGTATATATATATTTATACACACACAGGGAGTAAGAAGACAGATGAGGAAAGATGAGAAGTAGTGAGGTGATTTCGGTCTGCTCTTCAGGGGCCTGGACCCAAGGGATGGTGGAGGGGCGGGGTATATCTCTTTCTCTCATTTGGGAGGCATCCTGTCTTGTCAAGGTGCTTGACAGAGAGAGGAACAGCCCGCCTGAGGGAGGGAGGCCGCAGTCTGGGCTTTGCCACTTAGTAGCTGGGACACTTTGGGCAGGGTGCCTGCTCTGGGATGATTCTAGCCCTTCTCATCACACATGCCTTGCCTTCATGTATTCCATGATGCAGCCCAACTGGATTCCCTTGCCCTTCTCCCCTCTGCTCCCATCTCTTCCTATCCTCTCTCATCTCTGTGCCTTGTTCATCATTCTCTACACTGGAATGCACTCCCATCCCACCTCCACCCTGAAGGTTACTTCTTTTGAAGCAATTTCTCCTTCAGGTAGCAAGGTTTGGAGGTTATATTTCTCTTTGCATCCTTGGTGCCCAGCACAGGGCCCCACATACAGCATATAAATGCTTGTTGGCTGAATTGAGTCTCAGAAAAGAGACTGCTTCACTGAGAGATCTCTGAAGTCTTCTCTGGCACTCACATCTTTACTACTATTCTGATTTATACTGTATAGATGGATTATTCCAGTGAGGCAGCTGGGTGAGCTTGGAGTCAGGGAGATCTGAGTTCAAACTCTACCTCAGACACTTAACTAGCTGCGAGTATGAGCAAGTCACTGAACCACCCCATGCTTCAGTTTCCTTATCTGTAAAATGGGAATATTAGCACCTCCTTCACTGGTTGTGAGCACCAAATGAGATAACATGTAAAATGCTTGCAAATCTTAAAGAGCTATATAAATGATGACAATGAGGAAGATGAGGATGAGGATGAGGATGATGACTCCATCTTCCTTGTCTTCTCCCTCCTCCCAACCAGACAACTTGGACTTTCTATGACCAAAACACCTTTTTCATTTTAATCTATTAATCTGTAAATTCCCCACCCTCACCTCTGAAGGCTGCTTTTGGATATACCCTTGACTCTCACCCCCAAAACTTCCTCTTACTCCCCAAGGGGTCTGGACTTGCCATTCGGACTTCCAGCCATCGGTTGGCAGCCGTGAGGAATAGTGAGGCAATGTTGTTGGAATCAGTGTACTTGAGAAGCTTCTGTTGGAACAGGGCCTCATACCTGCAAGAGGAGGTGAAAGGCAGGCCAGTGAGTGCGCATCTGGTCCACTCCTTTCTGGAGATGCTGTAAGAGTAGGGAGGTGGCATGCCATAGAAGGCCAGAGGATGGTAGAGAGGGAACCGGACTTATTTCCTCCGTCCACTCCCTCACTGTGTTCTTTTGTCTACATGTGTGTATTTGTGGATATGTGTGTGTGGTCAGAAAAACCCCAGGGTTCTAATTTGGCCCTGAGTCAGGGACAATATTGATACACAACTCATTTCTCCTTTCTATGAACTCCTGCACCTCACCACCCAGTACCTGGTAATCAGATCTATGACAAGCAATTTTGACACCCAGGGCAAACAGGATGAAACGTGCCCTCAAATCAACTCTGTAATTCATGAGATGAAAATAACTCGTAAGAAGTGGTGAAGACAAATTCAGCTGAGCAGGAGGCAGAATTAGTCGCCACAGTCGCCTCTCTAATGGTGAAGAAATACACGTTAAATGCTTGTGCCCCCTCAATTCCAGTGCCCTGGCACAAACCCTACTTGCTCCACCTTGGTTCTGGTTTTGTGCCACATACTAAGGTTTCATCCTTACAATCAGATTGTAACTTACTTAAGAACAAAGATTCTGCACGGTTCCAGCTAAACTTGATACCTTTGCCAGAACTTAGCGCAGTGCTTTGCTTAGAGTAGATGCCTAATAAATGTTTGTTTATTGGCTGTTTGAATAATTCATGGGATTGAGAGTCAGAAGGAACTGGATTATCTAATGCATATCCCTGATTTTACAGAAGAAGTAACTGAGGCTAAGAGAGACGAACTTGTTCAAGGTATCTGGGATTTGCCTGTAAGGAAAGAGATCATCTTTTATATACTTTGATTTGACCTGTGGATCGGGTTCAGGGATGGGGAACCTGTGGCCACACGCGGCCTTCCAGGTCCTCAAGTCTGGCTCTTCAACTGAATCCAAACTTCATAGAACTTGAGGACCTAGAGGGCCACATGTGGCCACAAGGCCACAGGTTCCCCATCCCTGGAATTATTCTGATTTTTGAAGTGATGGAAAAACTGGACCTTTTTCTTTTTCCATCAGTGGGGGTGGTAGGTAGTGGGAAGGGTTAGAGAGCAAATAGTTACATAGAAATGTGGGCAGAGCACCCACAGACCTCCAGGCACCCAGAACATTTCCTGGTTGGCTGAGAATGAGCCCAGGGTTGAAGAATGGACAAAGTCCATCCTATTTCCAGCTAGGAAAACACCAAATTGGCTTATGAGTATTCTAGGTCGAAACAGACTTTTCTGCTGGGGCAGAGATCCACAAGGGACCTGGATATGTTGGTGCGAGGCTTCTAGCCAAGAGAGAGATGTGGGCCAGCCTAAAACAGGAGCAGGAAGGGGAGCAGAGAGCGTATGTCAGAATTGGGAATCTAGCTATGGTTGTGGTAGTAGGAGAAAGGAAAAACGAGAAACTAGGGTTTGGGGCAACATATTTGAAACAACTTTGGGAAGACTGGAAGTCTCAGTGCAGTGCCTCACATAGAGTTTTGCTAGTCAGTGGAGATTGAGAGAATAAAGAAAAGTGAAAGCCTCAGGGCCCAAAACAAAGAACCAGTTCTAAGAAGGCGCTAGGGCCTTCAAAGGCAACTCAGATCAGTCCGTGTGGTCCACGGACTGGGGCTGGATTCTTTGTGGAATCGTGGAAAATTAATTGGATTTGGAGCCTGACAATCTGGGTTCAAATACCAGCTCTGACATTACCTGTGTGACACCGGGCAAGCCATTTAACTCCATGGCCCTCAGTAAAAATAGGGCGGTGGACTAAATGGGCTATAAAGCTCCTTTCAGCTTGAGATCTGTGATCCTATGAACCTCCTAGTTAGAAGGAACTTTAGAGGTCATCCAGCTCAACTTATATCAGAAAAGGAATCATCTTTAATACACTAGCTGAATGACCATTTAGGACCATAGACTTAGATTTGGAAGGACCTTTGAGATCATGTAGCCCAAGTCACTATTGCTACTACTGCACAAATATTAAGTAGCAGTCAGGATTTGAACCCAGGACTTCTGACTCCAGGGCAGTTAGGTGGTACAGTAGATAGAGCAGGGGGCTTAGAATCAGGAAGACTCATCTTCATGAGTTCAAATCCGGCCTCAGACACAAGCTGTATGCCCTGGGCAAATCACTTAACCCTCTTTGCCTCAGTTTCCTCATCGGGAAAATGGGCCGGAGAAGGAAATGGCAAACCACTTCAGCATCTTTGCCAAGAAAACTCCAAACAGGGTCACAGAGTCGGACGTGACTGAAACCAGTCAACAATGAGAACAGCCACTCTGGTTCCATTTATTACTCTTTGTGCTATGCCAGGGTCTCTTGACTTTTCTTTGTGTCATGGATCCGTGTGATAGCCTGGGGAAGACTAGGGACACCTCCTCAGGATAATGTCTTTAAATGCATCAATCAAAGCACATAGGATTAAAAAGAAACCAACTATATTGAAATATGAGTCATCAAAACATGAAACAAAAAGGAAGTTCATGGATCCCAGATCAAGAATCCCCGTCCTATTGTTTCTCTGCCTGGGGAAAGGCTCCAGTGACGGAGAATTCCGTAACACTGGAGGCAAGCCATTTCACATCTAAATAGCTCAGAGCCTTGTTTGGCTCCAGAAGATCTCAGAGATCATCTAGTCATTTTACAGATGAGGAAATGGAAGTTCATAGTGGTTAATTTTTTTTTTAAGGCAATTGGGGTTAAGTGACTTGCCCAGGGTCACACAGCTAATAAGTGTCAAGTATTTGATCTGAGGCCAGATTTGAACTCAGGTCCTCCTGACCTCAGGGCCAGTGCTCTACCCACCACACCACCTAGCTGCCCCTCTAGAGTGGCTAATTGACTTGCCCAAACTCACACAGAGATTCAAAATGGGATCCAAACTCAGGATCCCATTTTGTCTCTAGGGACGATGGTTTTTTTCCCCCCAGTATACCATGATGCTTAATGATTTCTAATTATAAACTTCAACACAACTGTTTTTAAGTTTTATCTTTTGTGGTCCAGCAGAAAAAGGCCAATTCCTTTTCCACGTGGCAGCCTTTCTAACAGAGTGTCCTTGCATCCCAGTTGACCCCATCATGCTGCTTAAATGTCCAGAAGCAGTCATTGTGTGCCCTATGGATCTTGACCCGGCTCAGTCACCGCTCTGCCAGCCTCTAGGCCATTGCCCAGATGGTCCATGACCTTCTGACTGCCCCTCCCCCCATGGTGTGGATGGATGGGAGGATAGGCCTGTACCTGAATGCTCTGATGGTGGTGAGACCTTCCATTGTCTCTGAGAAATGGGAGAGCAGGGGTAGCTGGGTGCTGTCGTCCAACTGCTGCAGGTCCCTGTGAGAAAAACAGGTGATCATAATGGCCTTAACTCACACTCATGTGGGTGCCCTGCCCTACACTTGCCTGAGCGAGTAGAGGAAGGAAATAAGCATTTATATGGCACCTACTATGTGCCAGGTACTATGCTGAGTGCTTTACAAATGTTATCGCATTTGATTTTTTTTTTTTAGGCAGTTGGGGTTAAGCGACTTGCCCAGAGTCACACAGCTATTAAGTGTCAAGTGTTTGATTTGAGGCCAGATTTGAACTAAGGTCCTCCTGACTTCAGGGCTGGTGCTCTATCCACTGCACCACCTAGCTGCCCCAATCGCATTTGATTTTCACAACAATCCTGGGAGGTAGGGACTGTCAGCCATATTTTAGTTGAGGAAACTGAGGCAAACAGAGGTTAAGTGACTTGCCCAAGGTCACATAGCTAGTAAGTGTCTGAGGTTGGATTTGAGCTCAGGTCCTCCTGACTCCAGGCCCAGTGCTCTATCCACTGTACCACCTAGTTGTCTTGATCACACCCAAACACTTGGGGTGGCAGGTTTCTTTTTGGACCAGACCTATAATTTCATTTGTATAGGGGAGTTCCTCTACCGATACAGATCAGAAACTTGTCTGTTACTTATTGTCTTAAGGGAATTGCCTGGGACACTAAGCTATTAAGTGACTTGCCCAGAGATTTAGGCTTTATGTGCTGGAGATGGGACTGAACCTACAAATTCCTGACTCCAAGGCTGGCTTTTTATGATTCCGTGTTATCTCTGTAGGCAGACATTATTACCCCCATTTTACAGATGTGGAAGGTGAGGTTTAGAAACAGTCAGATAGGTGACAGGGATAGGGCTAGTATGTATGTGTCCTAAACCCTGATCGGCTAATCCTTTATTACACTGCAATGACCCAGTGAGCTGGATCTCACAAGACGGTTTGGGGCAGGGGAAAGCCCTGTCTCTCTCTGATGGGTACCAAGTGGGGAATAAGTGTCTAGGATCACAAGATTACAGATTTAGAGCTAGAAGGGATCTTAGAGGTCACTGAGTCCAACCCCCTCACTTTACAGATGAGGAAACTGAGGGAAGTCAAGTGACTTACCCAGGGTCACCCAGCTAGTAAGTGCTCAAGGCAGGATTTTAACCCACATCGTCCTGAATCCTGAATCTGGTACTTTATCCATTATGCCACCTGGAATCCTCAGTCTAAACATTCCTTATGATATTTCCTCCAAGTTCACCCAGGAATAGCCCTGGGGATCTGAGGTGCAAAGTTCCCACAAAGGGGAGTCGGTACAACACCAATGCCATGGATATGACTGGCAACATTAAGGAAGAAAAGTAGGATGGTTCCTGTGGTAACCTAAGCATTACCTACCCAACACCCTGAATCCTTTGAGGAGTACACTGTAGAATTCCAATGACTTTGGCGTATGGCCTCCATGTTGCTGCCACAGCTCAGAGTAGGTAGGACAACTTTCCCTGTGCCTATTGAATATAAGCCCTCTACATCCGGTGGGGGAGACAGAGGGTCAAGGCAGTTCCCTGAGCAGCCCAAGTGAGCTCTGAGAAAACACCACATGGAGTGTTTAGAGTCAATGTCAACTGCAAACACAGAAATTGTTGAATTTCTTCATGTGGTCATCCATTTTATAGAGGTAGCAAAATTATCTGGGCAATCTAGATTATGCAAGCAAAAAAAAAAGCACCATTTTTCTTTGAAATTGTGGATAGATTTTGCAGGTCGGTGTTTCTTAACCACTGGGCTATAGCAGAGTTCAACTGGTCTGTAAAGATTTTGCAGGCTATCAAAGGTTCTCACTCCTTCAAACCTATCATCTGTAACGAACAGGCTCCTTCTCCCTGTATCCTGCTCTCTTCTCCTCAGTGTCTGGTGTCCCACCCCTAGGTCACTGCAGCTTCCTGCTGGAAATGTCCCTCTGGCCAAATGCAGATGACTGCAGCCCGAGCGTGAACTTAAGTTCCTAACACAATGACTTTCACAACCAACTTCCCATGAGGGGGAAAAAGATCTTTCCCAGAAACAAAAGTTACCTGGATGCCACCCGGAAGTACTTCTGGATGAAGTAGCACACGATGGCCAGAGGCAGGAGGGCAATGAGGAACACAGGGGTGACGTAAGAGATGACGGCTAGCGCAGAGACACAGAGCATCGTGGAGCGACTTAGGCACTCCAGCGTGGAAGGGATGTGCTAAAAGGAGATCAGGAAAGAGAGAGGAAGGAGGACTGGGGCAAAGGTCCAAATAGGAAGTGTTTATTAATTTCCCAGAATTCACTAACCTACCATGACCTTCTCCTTCCCGGCCACCCATGACATATCCCAGAGATGTAACTTGGGTATGGTGACTGGAACTTTGTTCTAGACCACCAAGACTGGGTGGGGTGTGGAGTGCTTTTTTTGGGGAGGGAGGTTTGTCCATCCCCATCTATCTCATGGGCTTCCATTGCACTGTACCATGTGTTACCCCCAGTCCTCACCTAGATTTCCACTTCAAGGCTTTCTCCCCAAGAGACCCCCTCTTTCGGGACCTGCCTTCCTGCCACTCCGCTGAAGGCAGTGGCAGAGCCTCTGGGCAAAGAGCTATCTCCTCTCCTGAAGCAACTGCATCCCTGCTTGGTCAGACTGCTGCACTACTGTCCTCCCCGCCCCCATCAGACTGTCCCCTGCATGCCAACAACTACTATTGTTACTCTACCCTCCCCTACTTTGGACTGCCGTCTGTGCTGTTTCCTGTACCTGTACTCTGGGTCTCTGCCACCATCTTTCTACCCTGAAAGAATTCCTAAATACAACTTAGCCACTATTCATCTGCATCATGCACTTGGTGCCTTCGCTGTCGTTAATTATTTGCTAGTCATTTCACTGACAAGAATGTGGTCTCTCTAAGTAGAATACACGCTCCTTATGGGCAGTCATTGTATCTTATTAATCTTCTATATCCGTCCCAGAACTTGGCATAAGTGTCCATAATAGGTGCTAAGTAAATGTTGAATTGAGTTCTCCCTACAACAAGAGTTATTATCGAACCTAGCTGTACTATTAGGACCTGTCATACAGCTAGTTATCATAATAGAAGGTCTGCCCTCAAGTCAGAAAGTCCTGGGTTCAAATCCAGCCTCAGATACTTACTAGCTATGTGGCCCTGGGCAAGTCACTTAGCCTTTGCCTGCCTCAGTTTCCTCATCTGTAATACTACCTACTTCCCAGGGTTCCTGTGAGGACAAAATGAGATGATATTTGTAAAGTGCTTTGCAAACCTTAAAGCACTATAGAATTTATATATATGTATATATTTCTATATATTATAATTGGAGCAGATGTTAGTATAATGTAGGTCTTTTTTTGAAATCCTAACCCAAAATGTTTAGAAGTACTGGTCAGACTTTGTCATAATATTATCCTCCCAACAAAGTTGTCCCATGCATTGAGGACAAGGTTACAGCAAGGATTCAAGGCAATTGATCTGTGAGAGCAGGAAGGCAACAGCATTTTCATTGGTCTTAACAAAGGCGTCGATCTCTCCCACTCTGAGGCTGTCTGTAGCTAGAATATAAAAGCAGGGGCATCCGAGGCTGGTGTATCCTAAGCTGGCTTTTACTCAATGTCTGCAAAATTTTTGGAAGTAGGGTGAACAAAGGTGCCAGGTGAGACCTTGTCATGTGTCTGTGTTTGTATGTGTGTGTGTGTGTGTGTGTGTGTGTGTGTGTGTGTGTGTATGCATCCCGGGGAAGATGTGGTACACTGGGTTGTGCTTGGAGTTGCCTGAAGTTTTAGGGACAGGCTATACACTAAAGAGTTTGGTATTAATTATTGTCAAAACGTCATAAATACCTGTGTCCTTTACATTACCTTTTGAGTCCTTCCTTCTCCTTTCAAGCGTACTTGTATCAAATACTTTGGGACCTGGCACAGGGTTAGGCAGCAGGGGGAGCATGTGTTTGCTCATTTTCCAGCAGGGAATTTCTCCCCCTTAACTCACAGGATGACATGATCTAAGAGAAGACCCTGGAGGATCCCAGCCTCTCTTTCCCTTTTGAGCACACAGAAGCTGGACCTCAGATCTCATTACCTGGTCAATTGTGTTACAGTCAGATGAAAATCTGTTCAGGATGCTTCCAAGTGGAGTTGTCTCAAAAAACCTAAGAGACAGCAAGAGAAAAGGAAAGCCACTCATTCCAGCACCTGTTCATGATGTAATTGTATTTATTTAGCAATTTATTTCAAGTGTGTATCTAGGCTCTGGTTCCCAGAACTGTTTCTTCCTATTCCTCTCCTACCCCAGAGTGCAGTGCTGCCCCTCCCGGCTCCCATCTGTCCAGGCTGCACACTCGGGTGCAACGTCGTGTGGTGTAGTGCATAGAGATTCAGCCTCAAAGCCAGAAGTCCTGGGTTCAAGTCCTGTTGCTGACTTATTCTGGCTATGTGAACCTGGGCAAGTCACTTAAGTACTCCAGTACTGCACTATAAGTTGCAGAAAAGTATCAATCTGTACCAGTAGAGGGATTTCTTTCAGTTATGAGTTCCTAATCCCTACAATCAGGCTTTGATGCATGATATCAACACAGATATCTGAGTAGCAAAAGTTTAAAAAAATTCAGCCATACAACTGGAGGTGGGGTGAGGTAGAGGGTTTATAAAATATCAAATAAGAGTGCCTGACTGTTTACTGGTTGAAGAGTAGCCGTGTGGACTATTAGCCAACCATGGATACCAAATCGATTGTAAGCTGGGGCTGTTGTGGAAGGAAGTGGCTGAATCCATAACCTTTGGTCTGAATAGAATAGAGAGATGAGGAGCAGTGGGGGATGATGGTGCCTTACTGGGCAAGGGAGGAGAGAACTTCTCTTTCATGGGGCTGTGTGGGAAGGGGGAACCATGTACCTCAGGGGAAAGGGGATAGAGGATTCCACTGGGGAGGTAGAAAGCTACCTCAATGGGGAAAAGGATAAAGGATATGGGGACTTCCCTGAGGAGAGGATGAGAATACTTGATAGAGAGAAGAGACGAGGAGGCGTCTCAGTGTGACTGGTGGGATGGGGAGGAGACAAGGAGGCATCTCAGTAAGGTGGGGAGGAGACAAAGTAGCATCTCTGTGGTGGGAAGTAGGAAGGATGAGGAGGGAGATACCTCATGGGGGCCAGGATGATCTGGTTCAGCAGACTTCGATGCAGCCTCTTGGCCACTTTCAGGCCTGTCCACTCCACGGTGACAGAGGTGATCAGGCACAGCACGATTCCCAGACTGCACAGAGCTGTGAATACCATGGCATAGACCCTGTGGTCGAAGGAGCAATCCTGCAATGGTCAAAAACATACAAGGCTATTTCACAGCCTTCCTGCAAAGGGCCTGGCCCACAGTCCCACTCTTTCGTGCCCTCCTTTGCACAACAGTTTGGTCACTTTTTTTAAAGAGCAAAACTCTAAATTGTTTTCCAGAATGTTCAGACCAATTCACAGCATCACCAGCACTGTGTTAGTGTGCCCAGCAGCCTGCAGCCCCACCTACATTTGTTATTTCCATTTTTTGCTAGTTTGCTGGCATTCCACACCCCAGGGCACCCTTGGCCCTTCCTCTTTTCTTGGGTCTTGCTTGCAGTTACCTCACTAAGGGAGCAGTTCCTTGTAGTTGGGCCCAGGGCCAGGGCACTATCCGTCCAGTTGGCCAGGCAGTAGTCTATGGCAACCAGCACGATATGCTTGAGCAACTGGGAGAAGAACAGCAGGGGCAGAAGCAGCACGCCAGCGGTGGACAGGTACTTGGCGCAGGCTTGCCATGGTATCTTGGCTCGTTGGTGCAGCAGAGATGACAAGTTGTCTTCTTCTTCACTTTCTGCCATATCCTCTGTGAGTGGTAGGGATGATCTTACCGTCACATCATGTTTGTACAGCTCTATACCTCTCATGTTTTGTACATGTTATCTCATTTGATCCAATCTAATCTTCACAAAACTTCCCTGGGAGGTGGGTTGGCCAGGGAGTTTTACCCCTATTTTACAGATGGAGAAAGAAACTAACAGAGTTTTAGTGACTTGCTCAAGGTCACACAGCAAATTGGCAGTGGAGCTGAGTCTGGGATCCAGCTTTCTGATCTCCCCAGTCTAAGTCACCTTTACTCTTAAGTTCCCAGGAATGCCTCGGCCCATGGACCGTATCAGCCACCTCCTCAGGTATAGGCTCCTCTTGTAAATGTTCACCAGGTTGAACAAGGAGGCTGTACCTCTCTCTTCTCCTCTACCCTTCCAATTATAGTCACTTCTTTGGGAATGAGAAAATTCCTGAAAATTAAGGGCCACTGAGCCTACTCCTTAGCACTTGGTTTAATTTATATGCATAGATTAAGCAAAAGACTCTTAGCATGCAAAGATACTGGGCCCATACTAAATCCCCTCCAAATTGCAAGGATCTGTCTTCCTAGGACTTTAAGACCTCAGGCCTGTTGCCCTTCAGAGCCCCCAAATCCTAGACCTGATCCCTTAATTCTATGACTGACCCCCCAAAGTGGTCTCAATCCCAGGCCCACCCTACTCCAAGGACGTCGGTCCTCAAACCTCCCCTTCACCGGCAGAGACAAGGGCCTTCACCATATCTCTAGCTCAACCACCTTTTTGAGGCCTGGGACTGGCCCTGGGAGCTGGGAACCAAAGCTACTTCACCTTCTTCCTCTTCCTCATCCAGCAGGAGCCCATCCCGGGAGGACATGGCCCTGGGCAGACCCTTTGGTACCTCCATGTTTTTTCTCTCAGTGACCACAGTCTCCTGAAAGATAGCCAGGGAGACAAAACCACTTACTACCAGCTGCTCTTCCCCAAGCCAGGAAAGTGAGATGGGGAGGCAAGAATAAGATAAATCCATGTTTGCAGGCCGCCTCCTTCTTGGAGCCTTCTATGTTCTCAGCCTTAAGGGATTTCTGAACTTTCCCATGATGCTTTCAATATAGCCTTCGTACTTACTATATTCTAAACTGTTCTGTGGTTGTTTGTAAACATGCCTTACCCCCATTCTAGACTCTAAGCTCCATTACATTAGGGTCCATGTCTTTTTCAAACTTTCTTTCTCTTCAGCCTTGAATCTAGTGCTTTGTACATAGTAGGTATGGAATAAATTCTTTATTGCGTTGAAACGAATCAAGATTGAATTGAATTGATGGAATAGGGCTCTGGCCTATATAGATCCATTGGCAAGATCTTAGAAGACATAGGTTTAAATTTTGGCTTTTATATTTTCTAGCAGTGTGACCCAGCACCTGTCATTTCTATATGAACCTCAGTTTCCTGATCTGTAAAATGGAGAGCTGGAAGAGACCCTAGAGGATAACTAGTCATAGGATCATGGATCATTGATCTCAAGCTGGAAGGGACCTTAGCAACCATATCGTCCAACCCTTTCATTTTACAGATGAGGAAACTGAGGTCAGAGAGATCAGGTGACTTTTCCAAGGTCACACATGTAATAAGTGGCAGAGGGAGGATTTGAATTTTGGTCTTAAGATGCCAAGTTCAGCACTATTTCCTCTGTGTTAGACGCCCTCCTTCTCTTCTCTGACATTGCTACCATTTTGGTACAGGCTCTCCTTGTCTCATGCCTGGACTACTACAATAGCCTGCTGGTGGGCCTCCCTGCCTCAAGTCTCTTACTACATAGTGCATTCTCCACTTAGATATTAAATTGATTTTCCTAAAGGGCAGGTCTGAGCATGTTATCCTCCTTTTCACTAAACTCCAATGACTCCCCATCACCTTCAGGATCAAATATAAAACCCTCTATTTGGCATTCAACATCCTTCATAACCTGTCCCCTCCTACCTCTCCAGTCTTCTCATCCTTTATCCCCACCATATAGTCTACAGACCAGTTACACTAGGCTCCTTGCCATTCCTTATACAAGACACTCTGTCTCCTGACTCTGGTAATTGTCATGGGTTGTCCCCCATAGCTGGAATGTCCTTCCCCCTCATATCTGCCTCCTGGCTACCCTACCTTCCTTTGGGTTCTAGCTTAAATCCCACCTTCTACAAGAAGTCTTTCCTATTCCCCATTAATTCTAGTACCTGTTATCCTGTATATAGACAGTTATCCTGCATATAGCTTGGTTGTACATAGTTATTTGCATATTTTGCCCTTATTAGACTGTGAGCTCCTTGACAGAGGGGACTGGTTTTTGTCTTTTTTTTTTTTTTCAGTGTTTAGCACAGGGTTTTGCATATAGCAGTTTTTTAATGTTTGTTGACTGACTTACTACCTACCTCACTGGGATATTATAAAGGGAATGCTTCACAAACCTTAAAGTGCTATGTAAATATGAAGTATTGTTATTACTTTATACTAAGTATATCCTATCGTAAAGGGGATTAACAGGTATATGGAAAGGCATAGACAATAAACATTTCCCATAAAGGCTCATCTCTGGGTAAAGTCATTAGGTGAAGTCACTAATCAATCCCATTTACACTATAACAATAACAATTGTTTCTGGTTACTTAAATCTTTGAGGAGTGGGCTAGAAGCCAAGGGTCTGAGGCCATGTGGTGAAACTTCACTTCCCATCCTCTTCTTTGTATATGGCATAACAAAGAGCATTCTTCAGAATAGTTGCTATCTTACTAGCCCTCCCTAGGAAACTGAAAATAAGTTGAATTTCTTTGGGAACATAGGGACGACCCTGGAAGCATCATATGCATCACTAGAGCTCTCTGCCTTTCTCTCCCTGCTTCAATTTGAAAGGAGTCGATGGTGTTAAAGAATACAAAAAGAGTTGTTCAAGGAGCAAGTGTAAACTATTAATGACCATAGGAAATATTGTGCTAAATCATTAATAAAGAGACAAATGCAACTCAAAATAACTCTGAAATTTCACTTCATACTCAGTAAATTGGCAAAGATATCAAAAGCTGGAAATAGTGTTGGAGGGGCTATGGAAAGCTGGGCACATTAATATACTATTGGTAGAGCTGTGAATAGGTCCAACCATTCTGAAAAACAATTTGGAATTTTGTTAAAAAAAAGTAATCAAAATATCCTTTGACCCAGAGATCTAGCATAAACTCTAAAGAGGTCAGTGATAAAAAGAAAGGCTTCCTATACACTGAAATAACCATAGTAGGACTTTTTGTGTATGCAAAGAACTGGAAACAAAGTAGCTACCCATCAGTTTTGGAATGACTGAGTAAATTATGGCACGTGAATTAATGGTATATTACTGTGAAAGAAACAATGAAAATGAATTCAGAAAAGCGTGAAATATTTCAAAGAACTGATGCAAAGTGAAGTAAGCAAAACTAGGAAAACAATACACATAATAACTGCTAAAATGTAAATGGAAAGAATAAAAAACTGAAACTGAATCAAAAACCAAATGCTATGTAGCTATAATGACCAAGAAGCTTGACCCCAGAGGAAAGTTGAGAAAATGCATCTCCTTCCCTATATATAGAGGTTGGGTACAATGGGCATGGAATTCTGATAGGTTTTGTTGAACTGCCTTTACCCGCTTCTTTCTTTAAAAATCTTGGTTACCAGAGAAAGCTTGCTGGGTGAAGGAGGGGGATGGATATAATTTGAAATGAAGGTGATCTAAAAACAAAAGATATAGATAAAAGTGAAAAAAAGGAGTCAATGGTTATCTGGACAAGGGATATTAGGACCCTAAGGTTATTATTATTTTTTTAATATTGTCCTTCACTGGGCCAATGATTCAGGCACCTCAAAAATGCCAGATGAGCCCACTTTGAGCACATCCACTCTCATGTTCTGTCTTTGCTGGGGCATTGAAAAGGGAAGTAGCCTCCTTATCCTGGCTCAGAGTTCTTAGGTACTGGCCCACTTTCCAGCCAGCTTACACTCGTTGCTAATCAAGAGAAGAGAACACTGACTTCATTTTCTGTGTGCCCCTGGGTCAGGGAGAAAGGGAGATAGCTGTCATCCAAAAAAAGCATACTATGGAATGGTTGGGTATTACTCCCCTTGTTGGGGGACAGAGGGAGCTGAAAACCCCAGATGTCAGAGGTCCCTAGGGCTCCACCTTCTCCAGTTCTTGGTCTTGTCGGTTCATGAGTGTCTTCCACTGCTCAAATAGCTGAGACTCAGACATCTGGATATCCTTGAGTGTCCCTTCCCGCTGGATGGTACCATCTTTCATAGCAATGATCTGGGAAAATAAGCATACAACTTGCCTTCTTGTCATCTTTGGAGAGGAAAAAGAGATACAGGAGAAGGAGGGATGGTTGGTGAAGGGAGAGGGTCCTTCATTAAGAAGCTATGCACAGAGGTCTCATAGCAACAGAGTTGGTCTATTGTAGCTCCCAGGGTGCTGCTTTCTCCCTCCCCCTTTGGATTCTTCCTGTTTATAGTTCATGGAAACTGTATTATAGTCTAATCTCATTAAATAGTACTCCCCCATTCAGAGTTTATAGAAACTCAGGGCACTGCTATGGACTTGATCCTTGTCTTATCTATGGGGGAAAAAGAGCTTATTTAGGAAATGAGTGATTAAAGTCAGATGAAGTGGAAACATCTGATTTCCTTAAGAAAGTCACTTTTGCTACAAGGGATGCTTCTTGGGGCAGGGGAGGAGAGAAGGCTATACTTGGAAATGAAAGTGATATATAAAAAACAAAACTCAATACAAATTTTTTAAAAAGGAAAGCAAGCTTTTTTTTTTTAAAGAACTTTCAAAAATGTCAGCCCTGTTCATTTACATACGCTTGATGTACTTTAAAGGATAGACTCATATCCTCATTGTTATGGGCACTTCCTTTCCTGGAACAGATTGCAGCCTATTCAGATCTCATCTGGTGTGATTCTTGCCCTGTCTACATCCAATAAATCCTCCAAAGGGGAGATAAGCATTACTGTAGAGAACTTTCTCCAGGTTGTTGAATATCCCATGGGGACAGAAATCAAATGTTGTGTTACCAAGAAGCATGGCCCTTGAGAAGAGCTGACAAAATGTACCTCCCTCACTTACTTACAGAGGTGTGAAGTATGGCATACGTTATCAGTCTCAGTTGATACATTAATTGCTTCCGTCAAAGTGCTTTTTTTTTTTTTTAAGGCTAGGCAATGGGGTTAAGTGACTTGCCCAGAGTCACACAGCTAGTGAGTGTTATGTGTCTGAGGTGGAATTTGAACTCAGGACCTCCTCACTCCAGGGCAGGTGCTTTATGCACTGCGCCACCTAGCTGCCCCAAAGTGCTTTTTTCTCTTTCTTTTTCAGTTCTTTCTTATGAGGGGTGGTTCAGTGGATAGGGGAGTAGGGACACGTATTTGGAAACAAAAATGATCTAAAGACAAATGAAGCAATAAATTGAAAAAAACTTCGAGTTTCTTGGGTACCAACACAGCTTTCAAGCTGCCTATCTATTGTCCCTTAACCATGTTACAGGGCTAGGCCACTTCTTTTTCTGTTTTAATATTTCCTTAATAATGTGCCTCACACTACTTGCATACAAGAAATCGTTGGTAATATAGTTAGGATAATAATGGATTTCCATATACAATTTTCCAAAGTGCTTCACACCCATTATTACACTTGAACTCCCCAGCAGCTCTGTGAGGTAGACACTATAGGTATTATCTTTATGCAATAAATGGAGAAACTGAGGCTCGGAGGGATTAAATGACTTGCCTGTGGGTCACAAAATTAGTGTCAGAGGCAGGATTAGAACCCAGGTTGTCCCGACTCCAGGTCCAGCCCTTAAAATATTCTGGAGCTTAATATGAATGCTTGTTGAGTGACTGATTACAACCAATGCCTCTCACTCTCACTATTGCCTTTGGGCTACTCACAATTTTGCTTGTTATGATTAATATGAAGATATTCTTCCCTCGTCATTAAACCAGGTCTGGTGGGATCTCTACTGGCACACATTTGTTAGCTCATGTTTTCGGCACTGTGTCTGCTGAAAGCCATAATATACCCATGTTTCTTTGAAAATAGTCTATAAAATGGAAGGAAGAGAAGTTTGGAAAAGGGAGCTGCAGACTGGGAACTGAGAGACCTGGGTTCTGGTATCGGTCTTGCCACTCCCTGTGTGACCTTGGGAAAATCACTTAGCCACTCCAGGCTTTGAATTTCCCATCTGGTAAAGGAGCAGGTCAGACTAGGTGTCCTCTGAAGCCCCTTCCAGCTCTAGAGGTTCATTCATTCAGACTTCCGATTCACTAAACTGGGTGAGGGCTGACCATGACTGCCCTCTCTAAAGAGGCCACAGGAGGCTCGGCAGCTCTGCTTGGACCTTGGATGGCTCCAAGCACCCTCCCGCTGTGAGTCTAGACAGTTAAAGGGCTGGGCTGAGAAAGTGTCAGGTGTTTGATATGGCTTGCAACTTTGGTCTCATCTGCACCATTCTTGGCGATTTTCTTTGAGTTTGGCCAATCTTTTTTTTGTATATATGCTACTGAAAAAGGGTTGGACACAGAGCCAGGAGTGATCTGGCTTCTAATCCCAGCTCTGACTTGCTAGTTGTATGACCTTGGGCAGGTTACTTCACTTTCTGTGCCTCAGTTTACTTCATTTCTAAGATGGGGATAACAACATGGATGAACCTTAAAGTGTTACGGAAACATAAGTGTTGTTACTATTGTTGTATCTTCTATTAGAAGGAGTGATCCTTCATGGGAAGTTGCCTCAGGACAAGGTCTGTGTCTCTCCCTCTCCCAAACTGGACATTCTCTGATGAAAGGGGCTTTGGGTTACCAATCAGACTGGGGGTTCCCTGAGGAGGGTAGAGAGTATACGTCTCCTTCACTAGACTAAGGCGTCTCCAGGGCTGGGACTATGTGCCGTCTTCTGAATCCTCTCCAGGTCCCAGCATATACTGGACTTCTGTCCAGGACTGAGAAACATCAGACTTCCAGAGAATGATAGTTTGTGCCCAGCACTGAATCCCGTCTGGAGCCTCGTAGCATGAACCCGGTGAGGTAATCTCTGTTGGGTCAGACTGATCCCAGCCTGGGAAAATTCCTGGACAAGCTGTGTTTGACTGCAAGAATGGCCCAAATCTAGACATCAGAACGAATCTTAGTTGTTATTGATTCCCTCCTTCCCTCTCCTTCCCCTACATCTTTTCCCTAACCCCCTAAACGGATCATCCTTGGTGCCCATCAGCCAGGCTCTCACCCAGTCTGCATGGGGCAGGTACTGCAGCTTGTGGGTTACTAGGACCACAGTCCTCTTGTCCTCCCGGAGCAACTCAAGAATTCCAGCCTGCATTAAGTGGTCACTCAGGTGGATGTCCAGGGCTGAGAACGGATCGTCCTGAGCAGAGGAAGGAGAGATTAGAGACAGGAACTTATAAAGTGGGTATACAATGTTAATAATAGAATTAATTGGAATAACACCAGTTCTAGGCCTTGCTACTTTGTTATATGACCTTGGAAAAGTTGCTTCCTATCTAAGGGTTTCAGTGTGAGACGCTATCTGTCTCACAAAGCTGCTATGAGGATCAAAAGAGATATCTGTGAAAGTTCTTTATGAGCTACTATAACCATAGAAATACAGGGTGATAGGATAATTAGCATCTTTCTCATTTTTAAGTGCCATCGTGGGATAACCACCTTTTCTTCTCCCATCATGTCTCTGAGGGGGCATTCAGAGTGGGAAAGGCAGGGGACAGTTGCTTCTTAGGACTTGTTCCACCTGTCCCCATCCTGTGCTCTCTCCCTCCCTCCCCCAGTCTAAATCTTAGATTTGGAAGTCAAAAGACCCAACTTTGAATCCTGGCTTTTTGACATATTAGTTGCCTTACCATGTCCTAGTTACCACCTCTCTGAACATCATCTGTAAAATGGGGCTATAATAACATTCCCACCACCTACCTATGCCAGGAAAATATATAGTCATGCAGGGCAGGAGCAGAGCATGTACAATGTAGTGGGATGAGGTATGAGTGGAGGAGAGGGTGATGGGGAAGATGGCTAGGCAAACTCACCAAGAACACAACATTGGTGTGCTGGTACAATGCCCGGGCCACACTGATACGTTGACGCTGACCTCCCGACAGGTTGATGCCCTGGTATCAATGGAGAGCAATTGGTCATTGTCATTGCCCTTTCCCCGGGCTATGTCAAAGAGATTGAGGTCTAAGTGTGGAGGGAGCTGCCTATGCCCAAGGCAGGGGAAGTTTTAAGTTATTAATATTATCTAATTTTTTTTCTTGTCTAACTTCATTACCTAAATATTGCTGCCCCCAATGCCTCAGATGGATTTTGAAGCAGGCACACTTTACATTGTCTATATTCATTGCCTACACTTCTCTTCTAACTCACTTCTAAACCCTTTGCAGTCTGATGAAGTTTTAAATTATATGGAGTCAGTCAGAATAAAGGAACTGGGACTGTTTTCTTTGAGAAGGAAGGGTTAGAGGCAGGGCTGGTGCAATCTTTGAGTCTGAACAGCAAATGGGGACAATACCCTAATTATTTTCCACATGAAAAGCAGAGTACCCTGGGAAAAGGCCACTGGATTTGGGTTGGGATACCTGGGTTCTGGTCAATTAACCTCTTTTGGACCTCAGTTTTCTCATCTCTAAAACGAGTTTGATAATACTTTCACTATCTACCTCACAAAGGTGAGGAAAGTGCTTTCAATTGTTGTTGCCAATACTACTATAATAATCATGATCATGGAAGAAACAGACTTGGGCTGCAGCTAGAGAGATTTAGGTTAGATTCAAGGAAGAATTTTCAGATAGTAAGGTTGGTCAAAGGAAATTGTTGTATCTAAGATGGACAAGATGACCACTTCTCTTGTTATTCTCCAAGCCAGCTGCCTCCTGACAAATTCACTCTAAAAATTCTCTTCATAGGGACTCCTGGCTATGGTTTTTGACCCTGAGGCAGATAGTTCCTTAGCAGCTAGTAACTGGACCCCTGAAAATGGGTTGGTGCGGGGCAGGGGTGGGGCACATCAGAGTTATGGGAAGGACCATTTTGAGAGTGAGCTTTGAGAATCCCAATACCCTAGAAGACAGCTACTAACCCGCTCCCCAATCTGGGTCTGGTCTCCATGGGGCAGGATGTCAATGTCAGGCTGGAGAGAACAGGCATCAATGACAGCTTTATACCTGTGGGAGGACAGAGGTGGACATAGCATGGCTTGGCCCAAGAATCTCTGCTGTGTTTTATAGGCGACCATTATCTAGAAGAGGGATTTGGTGTTGGAGACACTGTCATGGACACAGATGGCTTAATGAGCCTTCCCAGCTTGGGAGAGCAAACACCATCTGATTCAGGAAAGCGCCCAGGCTCAGCACCTTATTCAGGCTCGTAACTGGGCTAGTTAAATATTTAAGGAGTTAAATTGGATGGGAATATGTACAGTGACCCAGCAACAATGAGTCCCTGTGATCTTTACATGTTGGAGAGGGAGTGATAACTGACCATGCTGACTGTTAAATATTTACTTAGCTCCCCTACCCCAGAAGTGCCTCCTACACCAAGCTGGAGGAGCTTCATAGACAGAGCAGGAAGCAAGAGCCCGGGCCTCCTCCCCACCTTGTTCTAGACACAGCAGCACGTTGAACAGCTCTCCACTCCAGCCGTCCCCTCCCTCCTCCTCCTCCTATCCCTAAACAGAAGGCTCTGGATGAAGTGGATCCAGATATCCAAAGTGAATTTGCATTTGAAGTCACTTCCAAATAGGTCACCCAGAAAATCCTGAAATCTCTACCTAGATCAAGAGTTAAGGAGTTAAATGGGAACATACACAGTGACCCAGCAATGATGTGGAGAACAGCATTCTCTCAACATATGGGCCATTGTCAGAGGATGCAATTAAAAATAGCCTGGATGGAGGGTACTGGGGCTGGGCTCTGGAGTAGTTCTGGGGAATGGAGATGGTGGTACCGTAGGGGCAGGGAGTAAGGGGGGAGAGGCCTGGCTGCTGACCCATCTGGGAGTGATTCCTCTAGTCCCTTACCTCCCACCATGAGAGAGAAGGTTTACCGTTGTTTGTTGAAGGGGCTTTCAAATGTAATATTCTCCTCCACTGTGGCATTAAGCAACCATGGCTTCTGGGAGGCATAGGCCACTGGACCCCTTTTTCTGAAAAAGAAAGCCAGGGAGGGGCTTCAGTGAGTACTTCTAATGGGACTACCCCAGACCAGGCTTACAGAGGGCCCCCAAGTGTCATCTCTACCAACTTATTAAAGCCTGAGAGAATCTACCCTTAGGGGGTCATTGTTTTGTGTTTTCCAGAATTTCCTTCCTTCCTCTTTCCTTTCTCTTTCTTTCTTCCTTCTTCTTTCTTTCTTTCTTTCTTTCTTTCTTTCTTTCTTTCTTTCTTTC